GCTATCCATTAGCTCAATTTCTTGTTCAAGTTCACTCGCGTTCCATCACCAAAAATATTTTCGTAGTGTGACGCAACCGTACGACTGCGTCCCGCTCGAACATTCGGCCGCGCTCTCAGTAGGCACTGCTCTCACGCGACCTTGGCCGCGGAGCGCCCGCAAGGTTCAGGTCTTCGAACTCAAGCGCTCGGAGAAGCGCGCGGGGAGAGGGCTTCACAGCCCTCCAATGGCTCGCCGCGCATGTCTGCGCGCGCTTCTGATTGGTCCATCGGAGGCGCGGCAATGACCTCGGAGACCGGAGTTCGAAGCGCGCCGAGGCTCGCAACGAAGTATAGACAGACAGGCTTCGCCGACTCATAGAGGCGATATTCGCTCGATGAACGCTGCGTCGTCGCCGAAGTGATTGTATCGCACGGAGCAGTGATCTTTTTGCAGACTTTCACTCTTAAGGGGAGGCTCGCGCGGCTTCGACCACGAGTGCGCGCGGCCCGAGTTCAGTTCGTCGATCGAGCTCGAGTAAAACGCACGCGGCGCGTGCAGCGGTGTGATATCGCGATCGAGCAACCTACATCCTTCGCGACGTGCCGGCCGCGCGCCTCGGCCCATGCACTCCTGTCCTATTTTATTAAACAGAGAGCGCAGGACGCTAGTGTGTCTGAGCCGACAGGCTCGAATGTGGCTTACGTGTTGTGAAGTGCGAGATAAAACAATAATTAAGTTTTAGCTTATGACTCAAGTGATGTCTCCGGATAGTAGTTACGGGCGTTACGATACGCCAACACCAACAGACAATATGATGGGGTCGGTGCACACGGAGAGAGAACCAGAACTGCATATAGGTATGCTCCTATTCTCTCCTGCTCGTTCACTGCTTCGAAACAGTTATAACTATTGATGTAAACAAACAGTGACAATGAATTTTGTATGATACATTTTTATTTATTCTAACGTTTCGCGACCGAGCTCTTAGAAAAATTCATCCATACCCTATTCTTATGTTTTCATTTTAAATAAGGTGAAAGTGAAGTATAAACGTATTTCAAAGAAATATGTAGTAAATAGTATCAGTGGGCATTGACTTCTACTTAATTTTAAAACTCTCGTTTGAGTCTTGTGCATTATCTTTCATAAAGAATGATGTAACATATTATAAATTACTATTTCTAATTTAGTAGTTTTATTCAATATATCTAATTTTTTAATAATAAAATTGCGGTAATAACTCGTAAGAAAATATGATAATTATTTTTATATTTTAATTGCTGATAAGAAGCATAAAATATATATATATATATATATATATATATATATATTAGTATATCGCTCTATATAGAAGAATCCACTACCTACCCAATTCCGTGGGTGTCGTAAGAGGCGACACAGCGAAGTGAAATAGGAGTTGGGCAGGACATCATGTTTCCAATATCTAAATAGGTAGGTACTTAAAATAATAAAAAACTGCCAAGCCCGCCTGCCAAGCGTGGAAACCATGGCAATCCCTGAGGGAGGCCTATGTTCAGCAGTAGACTTTGATAGTACGGATCAGTTAGCTGGAGTGGCAATAGGCCGGCCATTTAACTTTAAAAACCGACATCCCATGAGGATAGTGGGATAAACTTCTACACTGGCTGTAGTGACAACCTGGCAAAACATGCAGGAAATCGTTGAATGCAGATGCCTCAGGATCAGGACTTTTTGGCAGTCAGGACAGGTGGTTTTTTTTTTAATTCCTTGTTGGTCTATGTTTAAATGATACAACGAAGCTTGTAAAAGGCTGTAATGATGATGTGTTGATTGTAGTTATTTGAACATGGACACATATGTTTCAGTAATAGACATACCTACATAACCAAATTTTAATTCGTTTTAAAATAAATCGTTATGATTAACGAAACGTGTTAGGGTATCCCTTTTGCCTACAGCAAAACATTAATTCCCATTGAATTGTACCTACAACGATCATTAATACTTTTCGATAAATGATTGCTTTAAGGGTTTTATGAAAGGAATTATGAAGGTAATTCAGTTTGCCAGTCGGTTGCAGAACGAATGTGTGATGGATCGACTGAATTTCCACTCGGAAGGGTTCGCTGGAAAACAATTAGAATGCTTTGTGCAAAATATATACAGCACTTAATGCAATAAAATCGCCGGTACCCAGCGCGAACCGAAGGGGCCCGATCCTGTCTGCGGGGCGCCGCGCAATTGATTCGCTTTCGACTGCTAATGATCTTATCGTTTTATTGATCACTCTTAGATTTCTCTCGCGATAACAACAAAAGAGTTAACGGTCGCCTACAAAATCATTTGTGCTTATCGAGCGTGAAATATTTTGTTAATGATGTTTGCTATGTGACAAAAAAAAAACAACGATCGCTATCGGTGCGAAGTGGGAGCCGCGTGACGTGGCTCGTCCAGCTGTCTTGCCGCACCACTTTTACTTTTCTCTTGACGCCCGTTTCACCAGTACGCTCACGACAGTGCATGTTTATTCTGTTTGTAGCTATAAGCAAACAATCGCAAACTAAATCGTAATAAATTGTTTTTATTTTAATATACATGAAATACGTGCAAACGTTCATTAACGTTCGTACCAATAACGTTCAAAGGGCCACTTGGCAGCGAAACGTACAGATTATTATTAAAATAAGCGACGCAGACGTGACAGTACACTAGGAAACAGCGTTAGTACGTGATAAGTACGTGTTGATGTCGAGGGTGAATTATTTACAAACAAACATCGCCATGACATAGTTCTGCAGTTGCGATCTGCCGCCACGCCACTGCGTTACGTCGCTACTTTCTCGTTTACTTTCTTCGACTCTCAATTAACGTAACTAGAGACCGGCTCTCACACGCGTTGATCAAAAAAATTACCCGTGTTGCATCACTCAAGGAGAAATGGCTGCACGCTATTTATACTTTTGCAATTGCACTAGTTACGTCTCGCATCGCTTTCCCTGGCCCATTGTGATCCCCACTGCGGCTACGTACCTACCCGTATGCACACGCTAACGAAAGTGAGAGATGAGACAAGTCGCAGCGAATCCGCCCATGTGCTGCATCTAAAAAAAAGAAAGTAACACCATAGAAAGCGACCGCGGCGAACGTCGACCCGCGGCGAGTGGTGCGCGCCAGAAATAGAAAGTTTCATCCAAAAGGCCGCGCCTGCTCCCTTAACAAATAAACAAACGCAGGGGGAAAGTGAGAGCAGTCCGGGCCGAACGCTCACGAACCTGTTTCCTTGTTGACTCCTCCGCCCTTCGCCCGCGACTGCTCCCGCTTCAATACCGGACTATAGACGTCACACCTGTAATACCGCGGGTTTTATCTATCACTGACCTACTAACAAAATCGCTTTGACTATTAACAATTCTTTTTTTAAGTTAAAACTTACATTAATGATCCCTCATTAATGCATTCGATACTTCGTAATTAAGTAATCGATTACCCATTCGATAAGCGAAATAGTAATTTTTTGAGACAAATCTTTTGTAGTGTACTAGAATTTTCATTATTTACGTAACAAGTGTATGCATAAAAGTTCATTGACATCGTTTTGTGGAGTGAAGACGCGCTTTCTAAATAACAATTCATTGTCACCTAAACGCGAGCAATGAAATGCGGTTGCGTCACACTTGCGTCCTATGTATTCGTAATTAGCGGGATTCTAGTACTTACCAAGTTTATGTTTTAAAAACAAACCATAACTTGTTGCGTAACACTGTAAACTCTCATATCGAGAAAGTGTTAATCAGCTCCAAGCTGAGCGATAAATCACGCGACTTTGAACGTCAACGGCACGTGCAAGTCCGATCGCTTCATGAAGAAACAAGCGGACTTTCATTTAAATATCTATTCGATAGAGCACGATAACGTAACACTAAATCTAGGTTGTATGACGCCACGTTAATATTTGCCTATTACTTTAAAGTAACAGCCTATTTACGTCCCACAGCTGGGCACAGGTCTCCTTTTATTTCTGTGACGGTTTTAGGGCAAGGAAATGTCCGCAATGCATGTTGGCGAACTTCACATCTTGGAATTTTTTTTGTTATTTCTCATCGACCTGCTGATTTCCTCACGATTTTCCCTTCACCACGGAGCTCGTGGTAAATCAGTACTTAAAATATTATATAGTTTGTAGATTATTTAACATTAGTCTTATAATAAGGTACTGTTCTCTTTAGTGAAATTTATTAATGTCGAGGTTATTAAATGATAAACTCTATCCGCCTTATTACAAAAAATAGTTTATAATTAGCCTTAGGCTAGAGTAAATATGCGAACTAAAATATAAAGTATATAATATATAATTTGGCAGCAAATGTCAAGTTTCACGAAGACTGTAGCACCGCGACTAAGGGACTTAATTAATGAAAAATACTTTTCATAAACAACGGTTTATGTAGTATACGTCATACCCAAGACGATAATAAGCCGCGATTTGTAATAAAACTGTATACGTTTTATATATTTTATAGCCAAGAGCAAAATACAAAGTAAATATAGCAATAGAGAATTGGTTTTCACAGAAATAAAAGCCGTGACTAAAAACTTTGTGTGTAATCGCCATTGAACGCCTGTTTGTGACGTAAAGTCACCTTGTTATCGCTGCGATCACGTGCAGTACGAATTGTTTGTTATACATATCGTACATAGCTGGCGCAGGTCCGCACGTTTGGTCTAGCTAAGCTGGACGGCAGTGTGCAACACCATAAAATTGGAAGCAAAATAGAACTATTATAAACATTTTTTCAGATCGCATCTGAACAATGTAATAATCCTATCTCTTCTTGTTGCAATTTTGTTTTAGCCAGTAGTGTCGATAAGTAAGGAAATACTGATCTGATTATGCATTTATTTGTTTTAGTTGCCTTATTCACTACTCAAAATGAGGAAATCCATTTTTGTCGAACATATTTATATGTGTATATATAAAAATAAACATAATATTATACTTAGAATCTGTTCTTGATTTTGTATTTCTTTTGTTTCAGAGTTCGACGGGACGACGGTGTTGTGCAGAGTCTGTGGGGACAAAGCTAGTGGTTTCCACTATGGCGTGCATTCCTGTGAGGGTTGCAAGGTGAATATAACTCAAAATAATTAATTTAACATATCAATTTATCAATATCGTCGCTTTATTCCAGCAAGCTCACCCGCGCCAACGATAAAATTTCAATCAAAATTTTATATGTACAACTTGCTTTAAAATTATTGCCTACATCGTAAAGTACTACTTATTAAGATAATATGCACTTTAAAAATAAGTGCAACATCGCTGTGGTTCACGTTTGCAACAATTATGAAATTAAAGTAAACAAAATGTTATTATAATTCGCTTATGAGACTGCGCGCGGGGGTAAAGTAAATTGTAAAACGGGATGTATACGACTTGGGTGACAGATCACCTTTCTCCGCCTTTGTTGCGTCGCCCTCCCTATGCAACTCATGCCAACTGCACTCCGTAAACACAACATACGTCTTTAAATGAACGTCGCACGTCACATAATCGCGTACGCTATTTCGGTGAACATTGTAACTGGAAGTGTTCTGGGTGTCCTAGAGTATCAACAGCAAGGTCGCGATACACGGAAGACAATCTCTGTAAACTCAACGAGCAATTCACAAACGGGATGGTTATGAATTTAAAATGAAAGTACGTAATATACCTACGCTATAAATATTAAAAAAATATTCATATGTTTTTTAAGGATAGGTTAGTTGTCGGTATCGGTCGTACTCGATATGTATGGCAGTGGTTATAACTTCGGGTTGGTCCCTACCTGGCGGCCCCGACACCGCCGGTCAGCCCCTGCCCCAATTCGATTACTTATTTTTTGTGAATAACCTGTTCAAGAACAATCACACGGGAAACAGTTCGACCTTTTAAATTCGAAAACATTTAGGAATTTAGGTACTTGAGGTCAATGAAAATGAAATAATATAAGGTTAAAAGGTTGGGGATATATATTTCTTATAATATGCTATTCCAAAACATTTACCTACAGTAATTTCATATTTATAAACATAAATATTAAAATATTAAACTATAAAATATTTATTTTAAAACTTATAAAGTTTACTACGGCGGACTTAATGCCATGTGCCATTCTCTGCCAGTTAACCCTCGGTGCTAAGACAATTGTTGGCAGCTGCGAAAAATAATACTTATATAAAGTGTTATAAAATAAAAAACATAGTAGCTACATATATTATACACAACACATTTAAATAATTAAATATACATACATATAGCATATACCATAATATTATAATATGTTTGTAGGTGAAAAGTGTTTTTATTAAATAGTAAGCACGCAAAAAAATAGAGACGTAGATTTTTTTTGTAGTTGGTTGGTAGGGAAAATTAAGATTGAAGGTAGTTCAAGTACGGGACCGTCCGGAGCGTTGCCAACTTGCTTTCATGATGGTTAAAGTTTTTGTATATAAAAAGATATTAAAATCACATTCATAAACTTACTATAGGAACTGTATTTAGATGTTAATTTTGACCATCTAGCTAATTGTATCTTCGTCTTCATTAGTCCGTAAATATCCACTGCTGGGCTCACATTGTAGAGATATTTGCTTTAATTGGCACACTTGGCACACTCAGCACGCGGCTTGACGATCGCAGTATCGGACGAATTTGTATTACTTATGTCTTTGAAAATATTAACGTCCCAAGTATAATAAATTGTTATCACTAATTCACTTTTCCCACACCTTATATAAAAATTTAAAAAAAAATCGTTATAAAACCTTAAAGTGTTCAAAAACACAATTAAAAAGAGCAAAAAAGTACCTATAATGTTTCACTTAAATGTAAAAGTAGAATACTCCTCAACTCGTAGATTTCAATTAACAGTTATTGAATAAAAAAAAACACCGATAAAATAAAGGTATAGGTACTGTATCAGAAATGTATTTTAATGAATGTAAACATTTACCTTGATTTGCCTTTCCGTTAGTGTGCAAACCAGAAGGTTGCCAACGAAATCAAAACTGTAGACATATTACGATGCAATTGAATGACATTCATTGCTTTTTCATAGATTTTTAACTCAATTCATAATATTTTAAATGAACTAAGCATTAACTATAAGCACCTCCTTATCCATGTGCGCTCCCTCTACAAAGTCAAACACCATTAACATTGCTGAATTGTAATGTCAGTATACCGTCTCATGACCTGACAAAGGTCGTATTCATGAGCGTGAAAGCGGTGCAAGGAAGCAGACTGGAGTAGAAGTGCAAGGCTGCAAGGGTACAAGCCGTACATGTAAACTGGTTTATCCCAGAAACTTGCCTACCGGAGGCGCGGACGAGACAAAGCATATCCTTCGCTCCGCGGTCGTCTGGCCTATTGTGTAGCAAACGAGAGGGATAACGATTTAGCGTGAAATCCAAGTTACATTTTGCTGCAGTGGAAAAATGCGAAATATTTCACTTAACACATGTTTTAAATAGATGTGCATATATTCATTTTCACATTTTTTTAAAAAATGCATTGTCAAGGTAACAAGTTATTAGATTTCTTATTTCACTGTATTGCTAAATACTGCTCAGAAAGAGCGCGCTTAGCGACATCTTTTAACGTAGTGTGAAATTGTGCAGCATTAGTTTTGCCGCTCGCCACGAGGTGGCGCTGTAACTTGACGATGGCGCTGTTAGCACTTCTCCGTCGCGAACGGTAAATGTTGAATGAATGGTAAGCGGACTTGTTTTTACGGCCCACTACGAGGCGCGTGGCCGTACGCACTGATGTCAACGAACTCGTGTTTATTACGGCACGTTCTTACATTATAAACTAACAATTAGCGGCTGCCGTTTCGAGAACTTCACGATTGCTTCCGATTAGGGCTGATAAATTTATTCATTGTTCATTGAGATTCAATTTGATCGTGTACAACAAAAATGATAACGCTTTGTTGATTTTTATAGTGTGTTAAGTGTTTAGTCTAAACATTTTATCGATTTATTAATTTCAGGTTGTTAAAACAAATTTACAAATTTGATCAGATTTTATAGATTTTTATTTCATCAAAATATCTGATTTTCTATTATTTTTAGTTTTTAGTTTTTTTGAAAATAGGCAAATGTGATTCAATAAATTCTTTTAAGTGTTACAGTATATTTATGATAAATAAATATGGCGCATATTTACGATATAATATATCGAATTTGTGGTTTCCTTTCATTGAGGAAAAACACAAAGCACCCTAAATAAAATTACGTTTCTAATCGATAAACACAAAGTTTTTATATAGGCTAGCACTCATATTATTTATTAGCAAGCAACATTATGCATTCTTTTATAACAATTAAAAAAAATTGTAATATAATATTCAATTTAACATGACTAAGTCATATCGAATACATCTGAAATTATATGCTACTCAAGTTTCAATTTCTTATTATATTTTATTTTCTTACCCTTATGTATGGTAATTGCTAACCAAACTTTAAACTGATTTAAAATTTAAATTAACAGATCGCGTGTCTACATTCTAAATACTTCCTACTATACTATTTAAACATATCCCAAACTGACTTATTAAATTGGATTTATAACACTGGGCGCTGTTATAAGTACACTTGGAAATACCACTTTATATCATTGTATCAAATAATTACATGTTTATGATGCAAATGTAATGCTAACAATTATATAAGGTGTGCCGTGTAAAGTGTAAACAAAGTTTCAGGTGATCGGTCTCACCTTAGGTGAAGCGTTTCAATCGTTTTCAAGCAATCGGTGTTCTTTGTTCTCCTCGGTGACCGACATATATACGCGAGTTGTGGGTCGCTCATTATTTCGGCACCGTTCCGCGGTACAGGGCGCGAGGGCAACGACCCCGTCACGCCGCGCACCTCTCCTACACAGCTTCTCCTTGTTGTAAGAACTTTTACGGTCAACGAATGTATGTATGTACGCAACAAGAACGTAACCCACATTATTTTTTAACTGTCAGCTTAAAAGTTCATTGATCTCGCGGCGCTTGCATTTATTGAGAGCATCCCACATCGCAGCGTTCGCGTTACGATTTCCTGTGCGACTAATATTTTAATGCTGACTAATGCGACTTCGTTGTATTACGCTGTGGAATTATTTAGTCATTTTCCTATTTTGTTTATATAATAGGTTGCCTTATTTTAAAAATAATAAAAACATTGCTTAATTTTCTGCCGACTTCCAAAAAGGAGACTGTACTCAATTCGACCGTATGATTTTTTTTAATGTGTATATACCTCATAACTTTTTACTGTGTGAACCGATTTCGGTAACTTTTTTATTTGAAAGCTGGTACTTCTCGTACTTCTGGAGTTCAAGTATGAATTTGATCAAGGTCAGACCAATAGTTTTTGAGTTATTTTTAATAACTTATATTGAAGTCCGCAGTAAAAAAAATTTAATTCTAAATTATGTTTTATGCAACATTGTATTAGTTATTTAATTTTATCGTACTAAACTATATCATAATTAGTTGAATGTTAGGGTCTAAATAAAATTATGGAGAGTCAGTACAGAGAGCACAGGTTGTTAGACAGTATTCCATTGTAGCTGGTACTCACTAGGTGACCACGTAGCTGTAACCTTGTTTTTTTAAAGATAGTTGCACGTGTCCATGTTACACTAGCCATTATCAGATTGAATGCCAGCCCGTTTGTAACTTTAAAACTATAAAAAAATTATTTTATAATCAATCAACATCATTATTATAGTTACAACTGAAGATATATGTATATATATAGATATATATATATATATACACACATATATCTTCAGTAGCTCCGATGGTTAGCGCTCGCTGTAAACTTCACAGTACGCGAGCAACCCGGGTTCGATTCCCGTCGGCACCAATGAAGTTGTTAATTGTAATTTTAAGTGCTGATTTACCACGTGCTCGGCGGTGAAGGAAAACATCGTGAGGAAACCTGCATGTCTGAGAAATAAGAAAAAAAATATTTCGAAGACATGTGAAGTTCGCCAACACGCATTGGGGCAGCGCGGCGGACATTTCCTTGCCCTAAAACCCTCTCAGAAATAAGAGGAGGTCTGTGCCCAGCAGTGGGACGTAGGATATAGGCTATAACTTTACTATATATATATATATATAAAAGCCTATTAACCACACAGTGTACACCATCTGCGACCTCTCGTATTCGGCGCACACATTCACACTCTATAAATAATTGTTATTCAAGAACAGGCAGTTGCTATAATAATTCAATTTTCCTTACGTCGAAGGTGTAATGAAATGTGATAAGCGAACGGGAAATGAATCACAACCCCGATATGAGTCAGTTGCTTTGTGTGTTATCAAGTAAACATCTGTAAGGCGTCGGCGAACTGTTAGACGAGGTCGGTCGACTGTCGGCAGTCGGTTCCACGAAAACCGAGCGATGCGTCAGCATGTTTTTCACCGAGCCGGTGTTAGCAGAGTCGTTGTCCGCTAAACCGTTATCCGCCACCGGCTCGCCAGTGACGACGTACCCAACACTAAAACGTTCGAAACAACTGAAATCACTTCAGGTGTGATCACCACCAAACAAAGTTCAAAGCACGAAAAGATAACTAAATTCTACTTATTACATTTAGTTATTTGCATGTAGTAAACTATAATAACGCTTAACTGAGTCAATGCAATGTTAACGACTGAAAGCGGTGTCGAAAAGTCTAGATGTAAGGTGAGCGCAACCCACACTGTGCTGTCGAAATCCTTGTTCCTTACTTAGACTATATAGTAAACATTTCCTTTGATACGTGGAACCCATGCCCACTCGTGTCGATAAAAAATCTTCATACAAATTTTCGTGAAGGGATCATAAATTGTGACACATTTCGTGACAAAGTTAGTTCATTTATGTTTTGTTAACAACTGAAAAATGTTTTAGCAGAATATCATCATCGGTAATAATGATAGGCCTTCCCCATTGCCATAAGTACGTTCCTGAGTCACCTGCATCCATCGACTCCCTGCATGTTTCATCAGGTCGTCACTCTATTTAGTGGGATGTCGCACAACAATACGCTTGCAAGTACCAGGCTGGCCATTCGAGAACCTTTCTTTCCAATCGGTTGTAGGTTCTTCGAGCTTTATGATCGGGTCGTCACCATTTCAACTTACTGATACGCTGGGCCATATCAATCAACAACCACCCAGCAGTATGTAATTTTATATATAAGAAAAAAATATATTTTTTACTTAAAGTAGCTACGTTCATTTAAACTAAAATGCAGTAGTTTTTCCGAAGGATAAATAAGTTCCTTATTAATATTCATTGTTCATTTAAGATTTCAACACCTTGAAAAATAAAAATAAAAATTGTTTTATTTTTTAAACATTCTTAAGATACAGATAACTGTAAAAGATTCAAATAGTTATACAGATTTAAATATATGTAACTTATAATGAATAATGGTAAGTTATATGTATTGCGTTTTAATTTATGATTCAGAATGTGACAAGTCTTGTGCCGTTAGTCATAATTCAATCAAATAATGTCATCTTTTACGTCAGTTTCCCCGCGGAGCACGTTACTATACGAACCACTTTGCTCATCACTATCGATGGTTGTTACTTGCATGTCTTATCATCATGACCATCAGTAAATTTCAAACCACAACCATGATTTAAATTAATGGAAAATATAACGTCATGAAGAATAAAATTTCAGCAGGAAATTATGAATTGAAAACCAAAACTTCCTAAATGATTATTATTCAAAATACAACTTCGCAATATCTGTCTCGTATAAATATTGGACCTATCATAAACTAAAATAAATAATTTAAAGATTTCTATTTAAATCTATGAAATTGAAATATAGCCGTTAATTCATATAGCTAACTCAAAACTCGTGTAATCATAACTCGACCTAGAATTTATGAATAACAAATAACTAAATTCGGATTACAGATAATACTAAAGTGCTGGCCACAAATAAAACGACTAAGTTTTAGAACTCGAAACGATGTAACCGTGTTATTCATTTAGCGGTCATTGACACTTTGCAATCAATTTCTTAATTAATGGCCTAAATAAACGTAATAACGTAAAATTAAAATACACTTTATTTCTTATTATAAAGCGTAACATATAAAATATAAACATATGTTGATGTAGGATGTGAACACACCGATGTAAACTTCTTTTCATACAAATCATCATAGTTGCTTAAACGGGAAAGGTTTTGTTTTCGCGGCAACGGTTGTTGACCCAGCGGCCGGTCACTGCCCGGGCTGTGGCCAATTATGGGCCACTCGCACGGCGTACAATGGATCGATGGCAGCACGAAATTGGGCCACCGAGCTAAGCGTCCCCCGCTCCACACCGATGCTCAACATCGCAGCCTCCGCCCTTGCTATTATGTCCCATCCTGTACGCGTAGTTGAAATAAGATTCGCTTTGACATCGATCTACTCGTAAACAGTATACTTATGGAAATTAATAGGCACAAAGACGAAGTTGACACGTAAAGTACATTATATTATTACGGTAGGAACTCACACTTGATAATTAGGTAAAATATTTTGCTGTCCCTTGGGAATAAAAAAATAATCATTAGCTGTAGTGTATAGTCCACTTAATGGAATCAATCATTAAATTGGATCAATGCACCCCTAGCGAGGAGCGCGCGCGCATTGAGGTAGGCCGTGACGTGTAGGTGACGTCACCGGGTGTAGAGCCGGTCGTCGGCCCAAACTGCTCGCGCCCTAGCTCCCGGGCTGAAATGGCGCTTACGGGGGCCGCACGGGCCGCGGGGTACCACGGTTGTTGTGCAATCGGGCGGTCATCGACCCGGGGTGAACGGCCGCGTACCGCGACGCTCGTCGGGATGCGCCCGGCCTATATCCGGCGCACCGGTGCAGCGGCGGCGGCGCATTCTAGAGCGACGTGGACCGTTAGGAGCGCGAGCGGAGGGCGGGCGGCGCGCGGGGCTCGGGGGCACTCTCACTTTCTCGGTTGGGTCGGCGGCCGGCAAGTAGGTCGCGCGGGTAACTGTGCGCCGTGCGCCGCAGTACCCGCACAGTCAGCCGTCGGCCACCATCCGTGTCGGTGTAGTGTAAACGCTAAAGCTTGGATACAGTACAATCTCGTCAGTAGTGCTAGTGAGGCGACAGTGTAGTGAGTGTTTGTGGTATGGCGTGCGGCGCTGAGCTGCGCGAACGGCACTCGGTGCTGGTGAGCATGCTGGAGGCGCGCCGTGAGTCTAGCGACTCTGGTTGCTCAAGCGACGAGAGCTCAGATCCCGAGCGCGAAACTAATTGCAACTGTGATCCCCAGGGTTTCTTCCGACGCTCCATTCAACAGAAGATACAGTACAGACCGTGCACCAAAAACCAGCAATGCTCCATCCTAAGAATCAACAGAAATCGGTGTCAATACTGCCGGTTGAAAAAATGCATAGCCGTTGGCATGAGCAGAGATGGTGAGTGTTTTAATTTTTTATATTTGATGGGATTTTGTGTTAAAATTGCATAAAATAAATCTGAAAAACATTGTTCGTTTTTAAACATTTTATTGAAATATTTTATAATAAAAAAAATGAAAAACATTAACGGCCTTATAACAATTAGTTTTCACTTATATTAAGAATTAATTATACATGTACCTCTCTTTCTATTATCGTTAAGGAAGAGAGAGAGCGAGAGAGCATTTCTTGAATAGACGTAGATTTTTATGAGGAAGGCCGTCAGTTTAGTTTTCTGTTTTAATGAATAATGTTTTCGTGCTATTTTTTGGAATTATGACACAAAATTCTTCTCCTTTTAGATTCATAATATTTTCTATAAGATTTTCATTTAAAAATTATATTTTGACAATTTCAAATCACTTTCATTTATGGGATTAAGCAGACTAAAACCGTTCATGAATGTACATAGATAACTTGCTCTTAGACTTGTGCATAAATTATGCAATACCACCGTGGTGGTGGCGTTTGAGGAACGTCAGTGTGCGTTGCAAGCGCGTGTATCGCGTGGGCAATACGTATACGCAATTAGCATAGGAAGGTCGTTCGCGCAATCTCGCGTGTAAAAGTAGGTAGTGTGTGATCTCGGCGAGCGCCAAGTGGGACGCGCAGCGCGTGCCGGTCAGATCCTATTTCGCGGCGCGACGAGAGATGCGGGGGAGGGGCAGGAGGGGGGATAGGTTATGCAAGCGCGGGTGAGCGCACGCTAAGCGGGTCGACGGCCGCGGCCGCTCGCCGCTCCGCTCGTTGCGACACCGCTCGCCCGCCGGAGCTTCGGCCCGCGAGCGTATACTTAACAACGTGAAAGCAGAGAAAGGCTTATTTCGTAAGCGCGAGAGTGAAATTTGTATTTTCACTTTCATAACACAGTTCATCGCCCCTCGAGCAGTTTCACGAGATACATTATCCACGTAATCACAATAGAAACTTTATTTTGTTTTCTTTTCAATATTACTTATTTAACAATACATTAATAAATGGAACTTTAGTATATTAAATATTACCATACAATATATAATAAATTGCTTTTTACTTACTCATTGAAATCAAATTTATGCATTTTATAATAAAATAGTCATACTTAAAGTCTACTAAATTGTAAGTTTTACGTATATGTATTTGTTAATTTATGTTAGTTTTTATAATAATGATGACAAATGGGTTGACAGAGTATGATTACAGATATTATATTAGTACTTACTTTTATTTAAATTTACTACTTTTTGTGGTGTATTATAACTAAGTTTGTTTTCTGTTTTAATTTATATTAGTTTTATTAATTTTAAAATATAAAAATAAGACTTGTATCTCATTTATTAAACTGACGATATCAACTGCTGGGCTCATACAATTTCGATACGAACCCAAAGCTTTAGTTGCGCCACTTGACAACAGATGGCGCTTATGATTTAAACTTCAGCGCCAAAGTAAATGCGCGGTGTTTAGTGGAACTAATATTGATTTATTTCTACTTCATCTAGAAGGTTGTAATGAACCTTTTTGTTTATACGAGGAAGTAACCGTTCGCGAAATTATTTTTGAAGTTTAGTTAATAGGTAACTTATTATATTTTATAATTTATTTTCCTTTGTATTTTACTTCTATTTTTATTTTATGTTTCATCAAGCTATTCTATGTTAAAAAAAAATTAATATATTTTTAGAACATACCTACATGTTATAGCATTATAAATAATATAAAAGTTATATAGATAGTATAATATTTATATAATAATTTATTTAGTTATTTATGTTCTGAAGTTTCGAAAAAAATAAAAAATATTAAGACTTCCCGCAGTTTGTATTCTTGTATGGAAATAGACGTAAGTAGTTATAAACTAATATAGACATATATTATGCATTTAACCATTTTAACTTAATTAAATAGTTTCATGTAATGGTGCATATAATAGGAAGATTCTGGTTAATTTTGGTGATGAGTAATCGAGATGACATCTTGTGATGCGTTCGTTCAGATTTAAGGGCATCATTTCTATCGTAAACAATGTCAAAGATTTCGATCAGTACCTACTTAGAATGTGACCGTTTTGTTCTACGCGTAGCGCGGGAGAGGTAAGGGACTGACAAGGGGGCGGGGGCCTGCGCGGAGTTTATTGACGGCTCCCCTCCCCGCTCCCCGCTTCAAGTTCAAGGTTGGCGCGGCGCGCGCCGCAGCGCAGTGCGAGGGAGTCCGGCCCGCGCACTGGTCGTCAGCCCTCAGTGTTATCGCTATGTCAGTGCTTAATTCGCCAGTCCGCTACGAGAACTCGAGCCTTGTTGACTGTGATCGCTCGGCTGCAAGACGCTGACTGGGTCTCGACAAACATTGGATTACCCCTACTAATAAGGATTACAGTGTTTGTGCGAATTGATTAATTCACGTGTGCTATGTGACACTCATTAGTAAACTGCGCTACAAACATATAGTTACCATTTTAGTTATCAGTGGCCGTTGGCTGTGAATTAGATATTAGTTATTGTGTAAAAATATGGTGTCAGACATGGGAGAAGATTTGCCAATACTTAAGGGAATTCTGAATGGTGTCGTGAATTATCACAATGCTCGTACGTATTTTTTTTATGTATATATACACAGCATTAATTAATGTTATTGTTATTACTGTTTAGTTTCTAAAATAACATGATGCAAACAAATAATTGGATGCAGATCCTAAATTCACTATTCTACCCTGCTCATTTTTAGTGTTATAGCGAAGGAATATTTTTACTATTTTATTGCAGTAGTTAACATTGCCTACATAATATAACTATTAATTAAAATTTCTTGATAAATCACTTTTTATAATTATGTAAATAAAAAATAAAACCTTTTTTTTTATAAAGTAGGCTAGCAACTGGTTAAAATCTCTTTCGCAAAGTTAATCATACCTGTAAAATTATTTAAGTTACATTATTATAAGAAAACAATAAATTGATATTATTATAGTATTTAGAATATATCTGTAAGTATATAATATTTCTAGAAAGCTTAACAACAATCTGTTTATAAATAATGAACAATACAATAATATTGTAGCTAGTACGAAATAATGTCAACGGAACGAAGCGAAATATTTTCGATCCAGCGATAGTGAACAATAGGTCGAGCATCTGGTGCGGCCCACATTAGCCAGGGAAAGTCGGGAGAAATGGCGAGAGGGCGCTCTCCGCTTTCGTTTTCAATCGTGAGTCGAGCTCGCGAACACTTTCACCGGCGCTCGCGCACGAACGCCATAAGCGGCACACTCGCCCTCGTCGCTTACTACCTTTCGCGCCGCGATGCGCTTAGCACGAGAAAGTTGTAACACTTTTTAGCATGACCTCGCAGTACGCGCTTTGTCACTCTTCATTCGAAATAATTCAATCGCAACGCTTTCGGCTTTGTGATCGCAAGCCAGACAAGGGGTCGTTGCAACGGGCGATGAACTCTACCCTCTGTGTCAGCTGCGCGTGCACGAGGTCCGTCGGCACCCGCACACATTCGTATCGGCCGACAGCTGCCGTTTAAAATAAAAAAACCGCGACCTTGCCCAATACGCCCTTCGTTGGTCGCTCAATTATACGGATTTTTTAAACACATACAAAGATGGCCACCGGCGATGTCAGCGTGTACATTCATGACGGTTATCATTTATTTTTACAAGGCGATTTTTTTTTCATAATGAAGAATTAATGATGTTTCAACATTGTATTTTATGAATAGGATTTTCTGGTCGTTTGAATTTGTATTGAACTTTTGTTTGTTTTGTCGTAGCCGTACGATTTGGTCGCGTGCCGAAGCGCGAGAAGGCGCGTATCCTGGCAGCGATGCAGCAATCGTCGTCGTCACGCGCTCACGAGCAAGCGGCGGCCGCAGAGCTGGACGATGCACCTCGGCTGCTGGCGCGCGTGGTGCGAGCGCACCTCGACACCTGCGAGTTCACGCGCGACCGCGTTGCTGCCATGCGCGCACGTGCACGCGACTGTCCCACCTACTCACAACCAACTCTGGTGAGGAACCACCTTTTATATTCTTTATTTAAAATATTTTTTTAAATAACAAACGCAAAAAGATATGTTTTTATAAATTTGCATAACTAAATAGCCCTAAATAGTAAAATACATTCAGTTTTCATTTTGCATTTCCATTATTTATCATTAGGTAATAAATAATCTAACAATAAATTTTCTTTGTTCTAGGCGTGTCCGCTGAATCCGGCGCCGGAGTTGCAGTCTGAGAAAGAGTTTTCTCAGCGGTTCGCCCACGTGATTCGTGGTGTGATAGACTTTGCCGGCCTCATTCCCGGCTTCCAGTTGCTCACGCAAGATGACAAGTTTACGTTGTTAAAAAGTGGTCTCTTTGACGCCCTGTTTGTGCGACTCATTTGCATGTTCGATGCGCCGCTCAATAGCATTATCTGCCTCAATGGACAGCTCATGAAACGGGACTCTATACAGAGCGGTGCTAACGCGCGGTTTCTTGTGGACTCTACATTTAAATTCGCGGAACGCATGAACTCTATGAACCTCACAGATGCCGAAATCGGACTCTTCTGCGCCATAGTTCTAATCACTCCCGACAGACCGGGTCTTCGCAATGTTGAACTAGTAGAGCGAATGCATGCAAGATTAAAAGCGTGCCTGCAAACCGTCATCACTCAAAATAGACCTGACAGACCGGGCTTCCTTCGGGAGTTAATGGATACTCTCCCTGACCTGCGGACATTAAGCACGTTACACACAGAGAAACTCGTCGTATTCCGCACAGAACATAAAGAATTGTTAAGACAACAAATGTGGGGAGAAGAAGAAGGTTGCCCGTGGGCAGACTCTGGTGCGGACGAATCTGCGCGCAGTCCTATTGGCTCTGTGTCGAGTAGTGAATCGGGAGAAGTGATCGGCGACTGTGGGACACCATTGCTGGCAGCCACGCTAGCGGGCCGACGGCGGCTCGACTCCCGAGGCTCCGTCGACGAAGAGGCGCTCTGCGTTGCGCATCTCGCACACAACGGACTAACGGTGACGCCGGTGCGGCCGCCGCCGCGCTACCGTAAGCTCGACTCCCCCACGGACTCCGGAATCGAGTCCGGCAACGAGAAGCATGAGAGGATCGTGGGCCCCGGATCTAGTTGCTCGAGTCCGCGCTCGTCGCTCGAGGAGCACGCGGAGGACCGGCGGCCGGCGCCGGCAGACGACATGCCGGTGCTGAAGCGAGTGCTGCAGGCGCCGCCGCTTTACGACGCGCCGCTGCTGATGGACGAGGCGTACAAGCCGCACAAGAAGTTCCGCGCGATGCGGCGCGACACGGGCGAGGCGGAGGCGCGCGCGGTGCCGGCGCAGTCGCCGCAGCCGCCGCCGCGCGCCTCGCTGTCCGCCACGCACATCGAGCTGGCGCGCAGCCTGCGCGAGTGCCCGCGCATGACGCCCGAGCAGCTCAAGCGCACCGACCTCATCACACAGTACATGCGGCGCGGCGAGGCGTGCGAGCCGTGCGCGCCGTGCCCGCCGTGCCCGCCGTGCGCGCCGTGTCCGCCGTGCCCGCCGTGCGCGCCGCCCGTGCTCGAGCTGCAGGTCGACGTGGCGGACGCGCCGCTCAACCTCTCCAAGAAGTCGCCGTCGCCGCCGCGCGCCTTCATGCCCCGTATGCTGGAGGCGTGAGGCAGGCCCGCGGAGCCGCACGTCTCCGCTACCCCACCCCGACCTACTTTAAATTGAATAAACTATGTAGTAAATAATCGTTCGCAAATCGGTTTAATATATTATATGTGATAATTCGTTTAAGACGCGTGCGTGCGTGCGTGGCCGGTGCGGGACGAGGAGAGCGCAATAGACTGAAAATTAATTTAAGACTATATAAGTATAATTTATAAATGCAATGCAGCGCCGGTCGCGGTGTGTTTGTGTGTATTGTATGTGCGTATGTGAGCGTGCTCAGTCATTTGTTTGTTAATATAATGACAGGTTGTCGAATTAAAATAAAACAAAGTTGTAAAAATTTCTTTTGACTTTAATTTTACTACCCTTAAAGCAAAACATCGTTAGGAATCTAGCATGTCTGAGGAACAAAAACTTTCGAATGCAACATATAGTATGTGTGGAGATATATGTGAAGTCCGCCAACACTCACTGCAACGGAGGATTAATTACTTCATAACCCTCAGCTGTGAGAATAGTATATAGACTGTCACTTTACTTTACCCTCAACATTTTAAATAACATGTACATAAGTACAAGAATCATATTTCCACAGCGACATAATTATGAGTTCAAGAGAAAATCTTAATTATTTTCGAATATGTATTTAAAGGATATAAAAAAGTACTTACCATTATTTCTTCTTGTAATAGAAACAAAACATTTCCTAATGTTAAGTAATCATTTCTATTTACAATAAAAATAACTACAATCAAAATGTTTGCCCACCCCATTGACAAATTTTTGCCATTCTATGGGCAGTTTGTTGATGCCCTTGCTATAGCAAGAGAATCGATGAACTTTACAGGCGTTCGTTACTGTTTCATTGGAGTTAAAATTTTTGGGTATATAAATTATCTAAACTTCGAGAAAATGGAAGTCTGTTGGAAGCTCTGAAGATAATGGTGTAAGAGGGAGCTATCTGCTAATTTTGCCAACATATGTTGCGTGCCGGGCGTTGTCACCACGGTTGTCACGCTCTTTGTCAAATTTAACACTAATGCTCATTTCTAAAATATTGATACAAGCTAAGTGCGCATTTAATAATAGGTTAACACCGATTAGTTCGCCTAGCATTTCTTACAGATCTTAAAGTTATTACATATATAAAAATATACGGCATAAAACTAAAAAAGAAGAAGTGTATAACTACACAGAAATATTAACAAATGAATGAATTTGTGTCGAAAAATATTAAAAGCGTCATAGGGAATACCTACTACGAGTTCCTACATTATTAAAAGTATGCAAAAGTCTGCAAAGTCTGGGTATCGTTGGAATTGAATTCGAGTACAGTTAGCCTAGCTATACGAAGGGGCGGCGAAAGAGGAGCTATACACTTTCGAGGATTTCTAATGAGGATACCAAAATCAAATTTACCTATGTAGTAATAATATAGGGAAAATTAAGTTATTTCTGAATATTTAGCAATGGCGAAAAGCAGTTCACCAATCTGGGTAGTTCGAGTGCCTTCATCATTTGCTATTCTCAACAATAACGATCAGCAGTAACCAGATGGCAAGAAGCCATATTAAATAAGACCAACAGTAGACCACCAAACAATTTTTAAGAGCCTTGGTTATAAATGTTAAAAACATCCTATAAATATACTTTTGTAATTTAACAATTTTAAGTCGAGCCTATAACAGTTCAAAGTAAACAACTCAACAAAAACGACATAATATTCTTAGGTAAAGAAAAAGTAGTTTAAAACTTTTGCATTCTTTGAACAAAACGCTACACACGAAAAATGTAAATTCATTTGAAAACAAATCTTCTTCAAATGAATTTACATTCATCTTATATGGGTAGTTTATCACGCAGAGAAACTCCGAGCATAGCCCTCTCCATAGCTCGCTGAGCGACCTTGAGCTTCCCCATCCGGCCAGCAGTGAAGGACCACGTCTCAGTTCCGTATGTCATCACTGGCAATACGCACTGCGTGTACAGTCTCGTTTTCAAGGTTTGAGGTATACCTGATAGCCTCGTACCGGTAGGCGAAGTGTAGGGCGTCCCCCCACGAGATGGAGTGACGACTTGGTAAGACATGCAGGAAGTCGATGGATGCAGGTGGCTCAGGACCGTGCTTTGTGGCATTCTTTGGGGGAGGCCTATGTTCAGCAGTGGACTTGTGAAGGGCTGTAATGATGATGATGATTATATGGGTACACTCTAGGTTTTATTAAACACAAAGTTAGATTAGTATTATCATTAGTAAAAAAAAATATGATGAAAAAGCTACAAAAGGAAGTAAATTTTGCTCATGTTAACTAGCATTGAAGTTTACAGAAAATATACTTTATTCTTTGCATCCATCGATCACTAAAAAAACTAGGTAGACACAATCAGTGACAAAAATGTCCTTACCGAATGAGCGCCCACTCGAACATTTGTACGTAGCTTTGTGAATACAACTTTAATTAATGCGTTTAAGGTTGAATTTACATTAATGTATATTTATTTCAACTAGAATTACGTCAAAACAAATGGTGACAGTTTTTAGAGAACTTTTGCATGGGATTGTGCATCTAGTTTTTTATTAGTGATCGATGTTCGCATCGTAAATCGGACATAAAATTTATACTCTCCCCGCATGACTGTCTGAGTAAATCAGAACCTTATTTCAAAAACATGATATATTTTTTTATAGGTGAAAAACGAGCACACAGTCCACCTGATGGTAAGTGGATGCTGTGTTCCAAAGACATCTACATCTATCCTCAATTAAGAATCAAAATGCAGATGCGTTGCCACTGCCGAGGACTAAGATGGAATGTCTTATTTCCAGTAAAAAGGGTCTCCGGTTCTCTACTCTCATCATACGAAACAGCAGCATTAAGTTGTTAATTTACGTTGGTATTCTGTGATATTGATATTGAAGGTTATGATTAGTCTACGTAAATATCTTGTTTAAAAGCTTGTAGGTCAAAACTTGTAGGATTGATGTTATAAGTACAAACATGTGTTACCGAGGCGACGCAACCACGCCATATTTACGAGTATATCATTACATTAGGATATAAATATGGCGTGGAGGGCGCGCGGTCGTCGTCCGCGACGCGGGTCGTCACTTCCGCGCGGTACGGCTGACTTTAACTTCCTTCAGTTCCGTGTTTCGGGCGCGCGGTCAAATGATCATTTCCTTATTTCCTAATGTTTATATTCAAATCATGAGTTTTAACTGAGGGAAATGGAACAGGAGATGGACAGCAACGTATTCCTGATGACAACTAAAAACAAATTGCGTTTTCCAAAGCGCCTATGAAGCGTGGCAATGATGAAATTCATGCGAAAACGACTGTGAGACTTAAAAAGTATTATAAATAGTACCTATTAGTAAGTAACTTAAATAAAGATAATTGTTAGATATGTTCCATATTATTATATATTTATCGCTTCAATTTTATAAAACATCTAAAAAAATTCCGAACATGTGAAATATGCCTATACTTAGTGGAGCGCTTTCCTGCTCGAAACACCGTTAGATCGTCAAGTAGGTTGCTGCTGCTGGATGCATGGTACAGCAGTACCCAGTGGTGCGACGTATGTGGGTTAGTTGTTACTTTGTTGGTAAATAAAAAATAACTTTCAATAAATATTATGTAATAATCAATATTGAATAAAAAATTATTCTATTCTATTCTATTTTTTAAACAAATATACAAAAATGAAATTCACAGGTTCGTTTTAATTTATTTAATACTAGCGATCCGTCCCGGCTTCGCTCGGGTGATTCCTAGATCTCAACAACAGCTCTACCTACCGCGTCCAATTGTGAATCTAAACCATCCAGGGACCAGTCAAACACACACAGAAAAATTCTATAGAATTTTTAAAGTTTTAGCGAGAATCACGGATAGCAATTCATTTTTATATATAGAGATTAGTGCACCAAGAATAAGTATGTAAAAATTGTACAAAACAAATTCAAAAATATTATTAATAATTCTATACGAAACCTATTATAGGAGTACGAAATGTTCATTAAATTTAGCAATTGGACAGTTGACTTCATCATTAATAAGTGACTACATCATATAATTTGACTTTGCTAATTTTTGTAGTTTCTTAAAAATAGTCCCGTTTTCCGTTAAAAATTAAATTAAATATTTCTAATTTACATACCTATATAAATTTTCATATGACTTTAAAAACTATGACGTCATTTATTAATCTGCATCTTCATCATCAGTCCACCAAAGTCCACCGCTAGTTATAAGTAGCTCCTTTGTCACAAACATGGCCACTCTTGGCAGGCGGATTAGAGGAGAGTTGTACCAGATGTCTCGCATCTTTGACGCTCCTCGCCGCCAATATGGCTATTTTTCGTTTGGCGTAAATGTGATGGTTATACTGCCGTCTGTCGAAAGGCATGACATTTTTCTGACATTACTCTAAGTCACCTTACGTACAATACCAACGGGACGAAATGGGGTGATTGGATTCTCTCACGTTGCCATCACAAGACAAGTATATGTACCGTGAACCTGTCTGTGATAATTGCCCGATCACAGTACAGCGTGGCAATTCTATTTTCAAGGACTGGCTTTGATTCATATTTGTAACTAGCTGTTCCCAGTGAATTCGTCCACGTGGAATTTATTACGATTGGATTTCATGGGTTAGAATTTGTTTGCACGGAACGCTAATCCTTTTTCTAAAACAAGTAGCCTATCTTACTCCTCGCAACATCAGCTATCTGCCAGTGAAAGTCCCGTCAAAATCGGTCGGATTTCGGAGATTAACGGCAACCAACAGACAGCCCAAGCAGCATGCAAACTGTACACGAGCTGTATTGGAGTTCGTACATACTAGAGGTTGTATAAAAGCCGTTTAAGGGATTATGCAGTTCTTATAAGTAAAAAAATTAGCACAAATTATGCAGCTTTATGCGTTAATAGCGCTGTACAGTAGCTGTACAAGCATAAAAGAGGTTTAAATGCTGTATTACAGCTGTTATTTGG